GGGGGGGGGCGGGGGGGCGGGGTGAACTGCCTCCACTGCTGGCCTCGCGACCTGAGCTGAGCGGCGGATTGTCACGCTAAATTCTCCGGGTGGACGACGCTATCATTTGGTCCTCTCCTGGCCCCTCGACTGGAGCGTCACAAAGCGGGACTCACTCTTGAATGTGTCTCCTCACTGCCCCTCCAACACACACCCCGACCCCCGCCATCCCCCTCCCGGTTCAGTAGAGCAAAGATCTAATTCCAGTAGCAGATTTCTTCCAAACTCTGCCGGGCACAAAGGTGACTTTGCCCACCTTCCAGAAGAAAGAGTCCAGTGAGTTGACAAGTAAAGAACTCAGCCTTTCTCCTACGCACTTAGTGCACTTGCTGTAATTTCGCCCCCTACCCAGCCCACAGGAAGGGATCTCGGAATTCTCATACTCAGAGTTGCTGGTCCCAAACCCGTTCCTACGCAGGGACATTCAGAAAGCGCGGTGGGGAGCCTGGGAACATTTGGAGATCAACAGAGAAGCTTGGTTTGTGGGTGGCAGATGGGCGACAACATTTCCGCCACTGTCCTGGAACAGACTAGGCTTTTTTTTTCCCTATGCCTTCGTCTTGGGATCATCCTGCCCTATCGCCAAACTAAAATTCACAGGAAATGTTGCCTAATGGCTGAAAACATTACAAATAGTTTGTGAGAACAGGAGTTTGCACTCTTTAAATGTGGCGTTTTCCTCCCTCACAAAGGAGCTTAGCAGAGCAGTGCGCGGTCCAGGGACTGAAACACTCTAGGTCCGAACTGGAAGCTCAAGATTTCTCTTCCTCCACCTATCAGATGCCTCAAACTTATAAAAGGCGGCACTATGAATAAAATCTCTGAATAGGGTACGTGCCTGGGGAAACCCATGCTCATTTCCACAGGGCATATCATAGTTAAATCGCCTTACACGAGTTGCTTTAAAACTCCTTGTCAAGGTTTAATTTTCTGAAAGCAAGGTATTTTCTTTACTCCTCTCTCCTCTAGCTGGTAGTTATTTACATTGTGAAATTCAGGCTTCATTTATTTACAAATGCTACCACCTACACAGCTAAGACAGAATATGAATAGTTTTAGAAACTTGCTGAGTTTGATTAGTCCTAGTTGTACTTAACAACATCGAAGATGAGTGGGTGTCTTCTTTTTCCTCACTTCATAAGTAAAAAATGCCTTAAGTAAGATTTCTCTGTCTTTTTCTACAGATTATTTTTCCCTTCTGTCATGTCATCAACCAAGTACTAAGAATTTCCCTTCCTAGTGTTCAATTTCAAATGGTATGTGATCAAAATGTGAAGACCTCGTGATGATAGTTTCTTTTGGAATACAGAAATAAGCAACTCTAACATAATAGATTGGAACATATTCAGTCACAAACCATTTTTCAAGCCATGAAATTGTTTTCAGTCACTACAGTGGTGGGAAGAAAATAAGAAAGTGTATAAAGGGCATTGTGAAGATATGACAAAAGCAGAAAAGCTTTCCACAAAATGTAGTGTGAAAAACAGTAGAACAGCATTGACATATATGTTTATATTTTCTAGTTTCTATTTTTAGTTAAAGAAATTTCAAATTGGTTCAAGGTGCTTAGGAACAGAGGATATTAAACTATGTATTGAAATAACTTATCTCTAGCAACTTGTAATAAAAGTCTCTAAATGAATAAGTTTGATATAAAGGGAAAGTTTGATTTAAGAAAACTAATTACAACAAAAATTCTAAGGTCAAGTGGCTCCCAGTATATGGCTGCATGTACATTTTGAAGGCCTTTTATTATCGTGATTTGGAGTTATCAGCAACAAGACATTACACAGATGTTTGTATATTTCATTTTTAAGAAATTCTGGTCTAAAATGGAACCATTGCAATCATTACTTGTGATACTGGAAAACAAATGTATTCTGATGCAAGAAGAAGTATGAATTAAGTATCATAAAATTTAATGCATCTATAAGATACATAATGATGTTCTAGTTATTACCAGAGATTAAGGCTAAAATTCTAGGAAAAATATTAGAGTTTCAAATTAGTCAGTGATCACTGAAGGGTTAACATCCCTTGCAACCTTTGAAAATGCAGAACACCCTTGATTTCATTACTTGAATTCTTTCCCATTGCAGTCCTATAGAAAATAAACTTGATAATTTTCTTAAACAATACTTGTAACTAAAAGACATAGTAGTATAGATGAAGACTCAAGGTGCTGTCTCCTTGGGTTGCTGGGTGCTTTGATTACTTTAAATTTCTATTATTTTCTGTCTTGTGAGAGTGGTACAATCAAAATCTGCATGGAGAGTTTATTGTTATCCCATTACACTTTAATGCCTTCCATAAGCCAAACATGTTTCTAAATAAGGCTGTGTTTCTACAAGGCCAGAGGAATCCTCACATGGCAACGCCCTGCAAGTTTGGAACTTCATGAGATAATAAAAATCCATAAAGGCTGTAGTAAAGTGAGTACACTTGGGAGATGAAGACACTGCATGAAACCTAAGAAAATACTAAAGATTTATGAATTAATATCAGAAAGAACCCAGGCACCACAGCAAGTGTGAATAAAATTAGTACAAATAGATAACATATTTCAAAAGAAAAATTTAGAGATGCCACTAACTCTAATAGAATGATTTGATGATTTAGGTCCTAATCTAGCCTCCCATATGCAGAAATGCTGTAAACTTCTTGACCTTAATTAGCAATTTACATTTTCTTCTAATTCATATTCAATTTGGAGGGGAGTATAGTCATTTGTGAATTTAGGAAAACATTTCACTTAGACATGTTATGAAACATAGACCTTCAACTAAATATATTCTCTTTTAAATTATTGCGTATTATTTAATGTCTGTCTAAGTGCATATGTGTGTGTGTTGTGTGTGTCTGTATGCACTACTTTGTGGGTCCCAGGGAGCCAACGCCAGTCATAAGGCTCAATAGCAAGTGCCTTTACCAGATGAGCCATCTCACCACCCTATATACTTTATTATATTTTATTTGTACTTTGAGAATTCCATGCATATATGCAATGTATTTTTATAATATTTACCTCAATTTCCCCCTCCAACTTTTCCCAAACCCTGACCACCACATCCTCCTCCCAACTTCATGTCCTATTTTTTAACCCACTGAATGCAATTAGTGTTGTCCCCATGTGTGCTAGGGAGAGATGTAGAGTTCCCACTGAAACATACAAGCCTATATTGTTATATAAGGATTACATGTGCATATGTAAGTATATATGTGCAATCTTGTATAGTGTAGGAATGACTTTTCTGTATGGATACAATCTGGACTTATGATTTTCACCTTAAATTACAACCAAAAGATATAATGTAAACAAGCTCATTGAGGCATGTGCTCCTCTTGTTACCTAGGCATATAACCTTTGAAAAGTCTGCTTGATATTGTGTGCGTGAGATAGTTTACACCTAAGGATCAAAGGGCAAATTCTCTGATAAGGTGGATGCTAGCTTCTACTTCCCCACTTGATGTTGGAAATACTGTTTCAATAAAAGCATGAGTGAAGCCTAGCTTAAGAGCACTGTTCCATGAGAAATCCAAAGCAACAGGTGATGCTCAGAGTTTGGGTCAACTCTTAGTTTTAATACTAAAAGCTAAGAGTCACACTGTTTCTTTATTCAGGTGTAACTGTAACATGGCTTAGAAGCATTGCAGTATTGAACTGCAAAATAACCAGAATTATTTGACAGGGCTGGTTTTAAGAACAGGCATTCAAACACATCCCAAGGTAATAGATGGAATTACTTGAAACTCTCAACCAAAACTTATAAGCATACCCCCACTCAATCTATCACTAGGAAACTGGCATATAATGATCATCTATAGTATGACCCTTTTTTCTTTCATTTATAGGATTAAATTGAAGATAAATTCTAAAGAAGGCAAAAGTAGAGAAGCTGGGCCATTTGGACAAGAAGAGAGCTGGTGAAAACCAAAGGAACTGACCATTAAAATGAGATGCTTAAAGGAAAAATGAATGCTTTTGAACTGAAATAGACAAAAGTAAACTTACAAAGTACTCAAAATACAGGCCTTTATCAAATTTTAATACACTCCATACCACTCTATCTAAGGGAGGAGCCATGATCTCTTTCTACTTAAATTCCATTTACCTATCAATGTACTGTCTTTTTTTACATCTTGGGTTTCTAACTTTTCAGACTGGAGCCATTTGAACGTCCTCTGGACTCTCACTGCAACTAGATACAGTTTTATTCACTTTGCTGACTCCCTGTCAAAACTTTTGCTACTCTTTGCAAGCCACAGTTCCCTACACTGTGGTCAGCTGTTCCCTCCCATGTCTCTGTGATTCTACCACAAGGTAATTGAAAGCAGTTTTTCCAATCGCCCTTCTTCCCTCTGGAAAAGTGTTTCTCATTCATGTTGCTTATCTTCTTATGCTCTCCTCACCCCTCAACAAATAAAAAGCTTCCTCCACTGCCTTTTTGACATTCTTGATTCTTTTGCTTTCTCCAAACCATGAAACACCAATTTTGTTCCATTGTGCAGTCTCTTTTGCATCTAAGGTATACCCATCTGTTCTTATTCTTACTCCTTTTACTTTGAAAATAAAAATCAAAAGACTTTGAATGGAAGCAGGCCCAAACATTCCTCATCCCGTACCAATAATCCTCAAAGTATAGAACCTGGGCCAACAGTATCAGCACCATCTGGGTACTTCATGAAAACGTGAACTATTTTTCCATACC